ATAATCTCAGGGTTGCTCCCAGGGAAGGAGAGTCTTTCAAGAGCAGAGCAGAGTCCCAGCTGGTGTGGGTTTTGTGAACAAAATACAATATCTAGTGATAGTATCTAGTAAATGTGCATCATTTCACAGAAGCCTTGCTAGTCTCTGTGAAATCCTACTTTGTGCCCAGTTTGGCTGTGAATGTTTTAAGTAACACACTAAAATCCTCTCATTACAGCATAACACAGAATCCAGATGAACCTAAAACATTAATCCTTTCTGGCAGAAATGTTTAATATGCTCTATATAATATTTATTTATGCATAAAACAAGAGAATGATCCAGAGAGGATGAATGAACATTTCCCACAAAATTTAAAAGTTAAATCCCCATTATGAGTTTTTGATCAACATAAATATAAGAAGGTCAACTCTTGCAAAAAGATCTGAAGAGCAAAGAAAAGTTGGAAAAATGGTCTTCAAGTCTGCCTAAGGGTAGGGAGAATGAGAGCTTGGGAAAATATGGGCCCCACAGTCTCTTTAACATATAGAGCTCGGACTATACAATAATTAAAGCCTGTTTGCAATATTAAAAAGATGATTGGTGTGAGGCCAAATTCCATGTATACTGGCCTCAGGAAACAGTGCCAGATCTGATAAGCCTGTGCCTTGGGCCTTTTTCTTCTCTACCAGTGCTAACACACTGATGCACTAGCCATGTGAAGGCCATAGCTACACCTTGGTGATTCCTCATACCCTGGCACAGATGGGAATTCAAAATGTGAGGAATGAAGGTCCCACCTGGTGGGGAAAGTGCATTGGCTAACAGGTTAGCCTTGTTTTAGTAAGACAAACTGCTAATGACCTTAAAACATTCATGTGTTTTTTGGAAGATCATCCCTGATTAAACCCCAAAAGACCTGCCAGTACATAACTGGGACCAGGATCGTCTTGGTGGCTCCCAGGAATAACAAGGATCTAGAACTCTGCAGCCATCCCCCTTTCTGACACTTCCCAACAGAAATGTCCCACCTGCTAGCTGGAATCCAGGGAGGAAGAAGAGTGTTACAGTGTGTGTCCAATGAAAAGAAGTAGGTGCAGCTCAAATGTCTCCAACTTTCTAGGAACAAATCCACTCAGAACACCAGTCACACCCACAACAATGTTTCTAACTTACATGCCTCATGGATGAGATGATTCTCCAATTTAATTTGTGCTGAGAAGAGCTATTTCCTCCCCAGAGAGTGACCTACTCTTTGTCTTATGCCAAGAAAAATGCTGAACTATAGAGGTGACACATCATGCTTAATCACTACTTTCAATTGAAATAACATAAAATAAAGCCCTGGCTCATCCACTCAGGCAGAACAAGTTATCCCAAGCACAGACACACCTACTAAGACACTCAAAATTTCTGAGGAGTCTGGTTCCCAGCTGGGTGTTGAGAACAAGCCCATGAGTTGCCCTGGAGAATCTTGGGGCAGGGCTGTTGCAGCATCCTGTGCGTGCTAATGGGAGATTTCCCAAGAACTGTCTTAGCTTTTTCATGCATCAAACTCTAAGAAGCCAAGGTTTGCATCAAGAGCTCATACCCCATCTGCAATGGTGACAGTAGAGAACACCTGCTTACCTTCCAGCATTCCCAGAGCTGACTTCTTACTGACTACCCAAAGGTGAATAGTTAAGCCAGGTAAAGAGGGGTTGGAGGGCCACTCAGCACAAGGTTTTCTTCTCTTTGGTTTGGCTCACCAAATGAAAACCTCTTAAAAGCATTGCTTTTTTTTTCTTTTTTTTTTTCTGGTCTTCTCAAGCAGAATAAAGATGCCACAGCCTCCCATAAAGCTTCAGCCTAGAAAACAGGAGGTTGGCATGGCCTTCTCCAGCATTCTGCAAGGACTGAAAAGGCCTGGAGCCCTTCCCACTGGAGATTTTTCTCATGATGGGAAAAATCTGTCTGTCCTGAAGTAAAAGGATCTCAATAAGTCAAATGGGCTAGGGCCTCCATAATACTTTTCAAGACCAAATCACCTAAAAATGCTATCCAACACCAATACAACTCATTGACCGCCCACTGACAATGCAAAAACACATCTCTGGAAATGTCCCTTCTGGTTTTTAAAGTCTTCATCTGGTCCATCCTTCTTCTCTGGGTTCACCTTGACCATCTTCCTCTAAGTACTTCTCAACTAGGGGGTGATTTTGTCTCCCCCAAGGAACATTGAACAATATCTGGGAACATTTTTGGTTGTCAAGATTAGAGGCCAGGTGCAGTGGTACACACCTGTAATCCCAGTGGCTCGGGAGGCTGAAGCAGGAGGATAGTGAGTTCAAAGGTAGCCTCAGCAAGGTCAAGGTGCTAAGCTCCTCAGTAAGACCCTGTCTCTAAATAAAATACAAAATAGGGCTGGGGATGTGGCTCAGTGGTTGACTGCTCCTGAGTTCAATCCCCAGTATTTACCTCCATTCTTTCAAAAGATTATAGAATGAGGGAAAAGAGGTTACCAAAATCTCTACAATGCAGAAGACAGTTAACTCACTACAAAGGATTATCTGGTCAAAATATTTGGAGCTGTTGGGAAACTCTTTTCCAGCCATACCAACCTCTTTTTGCTCTCTAAACTTGCCAGACTTTCTCATGAGCTGTTGCTGCTTTTTTGTTGTTGTTGTTGTTTTTTAAGTGCTGGGGATAGAACCCAGGGCTTCATGCATGCTAGATACGTGCTCTACCACTTAGCCAAATCCCCAGCCCTCACATGCTTCAGTGCCTAGCACAGGCTAATTCCTTTATCTAGAATACACTGTCCTGCATTCTCTATCAGAAACTTACCATCTAGATCCAATTCAAAATGTCCCCTCTTCTCTATTGCCCTTCCAAAGTCCCAGAGTGGGAAGTTCCTTTCTGTGTTTATGGAGCTTCTGGTACATACTTCATCAGAACATAAAGCCACACTGATCCAAGGTAGTCTGTTACCTGGTAAAACTTTGGTCACCTTGACCAAGTCCCATTTATCAATCTCCAAAGTGCCCATTTGGTAATTAAGTACTGTTTGTCAAATCAATCAGGGAACAAATGGAAATGCTGCAGATGCACCTTAGGCTCTCTTATAACTACTTCTTTTTTTAAATTTTTATTTATTTATTTATTTATTTATTTTTTAAAGAGAGGGAGAATTTTAATATTTATTTCTTTTAGTTATTGGCAGACACAACATCTTTGTTGGTATGTGGTGCTGAGGATCGAACCCTGGCCACATGCATGCCAGGCAAGTGCGCTACCACTTGAGCCACATCCCCAGCCCCTCTCTTATAACTACTTCTAAGAAACAATGCTGTCCCAGGAAAAGAAACAATCTATGAGGTGAACAGAGAGCCTACATCTTGGGAGCAAATCTTTACCCCTCACACATCAGATAGACCACTAATCACTAGGGTATATAAAGAACTCAAAAGGCTAAACACCAAAAAAAACAAATAACCCAATCAATACATGGGCCAAGGACTTGAATGGACACTTTTCAGAAGACGATGTACAATCAATCAACAAATACATGACAAAATGTTCATCATCGCTAGCAATTAGAGAAATGCAAATCAAAACCACTCTAAGATTTCATCTCACTCCAGTCAGAATGGCAGCTATTATGAAGAAAACAACAATAAGTGTTGGCGAGGATGTGGGGAAAAAGGCACACTCATACACTGCTGATGGGACTGCAAATTGGCACAGCCAATGTGGAAAGCTGTAGAGAGATTTCTTGGAAAATTGGAAATGGATCCACCATTTGACCCAGCTGTCTCTCTCCTTGGTCTATACCCAAAGGACTTAAAAATAGCATATTACAGGGACACAGCCACATCAATGTTTATAGCAGCACAATTCACAATAGCTAAACTGTGGAACCAACCTAGATGCCCTTCAATAGATGAATGGATAAAAGAAATGTGGCACATATACACAATGGAATATTACTCAGCAATAAAAGAGAATAAAATCATGGCATCTGCAGGTAAATGGATGGAGTTAGAGAAGATAATGATAAGTGAAGTTAGCCAATCCCCCAAAACCAAATGCTGAATGTTTTCTTTGATATAAGGAGGCTGATTCATAGTGGGATAGGGAGAGGGAGCATGGGAGGAATAGACAAAGTCTAGATAGGGTTGAGGGGTTGGAGGGGAAGGGAGGGGGCATGGGATAATTAATGAGGTGGAATGTGATGACCATTATTATCCAAACATGTATGAAGACACAAATTGGTGTGAATATACTTTGTAAACAACCAGAGATATGAAAAATTGTGCTCTATATGTGTCATAAGGATTATAATGCATTCTGCTGTCATATATAAAAAACAACAGCAGCAGATATTTATCAAATGTTTGTAATGTAGACAGGAACTGTATGAAGGTCTGGTATATACATTAACTCATTTTACCTTTTCAATAACCCTTTGAGATAGGTTCCACTATTATTAGCATTTTACAAATGGAGAAACAGAGGCATTAAGAAGTTAATCCACTTGCCAAGGTGGCTTAGCTTTGAAGTCAAAGCCCGAAACTAGAAAGCTAACATCCTTAAAGCTAACATCTGGCAGAGCAGATATTTAATCTCAGAAAGTCTGGCTCAGAGACTCAATCTCCTAATATTCATGCTAAGGCAGTTACACCAACAATCAATCTTTTAGCCACTCAGAAGCCTGTGGAAGAAACAAGTGATACCTTCAGGGGCCTATACAACTACGGAGTGATCACCTCATGTAACTCCATCAGAAACACTTCACGGGGAACAATCATATAATACTCCAACCTCCTCATACGATGGAAAGACACATGTGCCCAGGAAAATCATGATACCATGGGAAAATAGAAATGCTGATTCAAAGTACCTTTTATTGGGTTGAGGATGTAGCTCAGTGGTAGAACATTTGTCTAGTATGTGCAAGGCTCTGGATTTGATTCTCAGTACTAATTAAAAAAAAAAACTCAAAACAGATAACAAAAAAGAAAAAACAAAGTACCTCTTACCTTGTTCATGCTGCAGGGATGGTAGCAAGGGATCAGACATGTCACAATGCGAGGCAGCTCTTGAAGATCCTTTTTGTTCCTGGAGCCCTCACTTCCTGAAGCTGACAGCTGCACTGTGAACACACACAAGTAGTTCATCAGTCAGTGCTGAGGAAGGCTCATGGCCCCATCCATGTCTGTGCTGTCCAATATGATGGCCGTGTGTGTGGCTATTGAGCGCACAGTGGCACTACTGGGCTGCAGGGGAAGGCGTTGAGTCTGGCACGAAGTGGTACTGCTCACCTATTTTAAGGAAGTCAAAGCCATAAAGTAGAAATAGCTAATTTTTAAATTGTATGTAATTTTAATTACATTTAAATAGCCAATGTGTTTGGTGGCTACCATTTAGACAGTGCAGATCTAAATATCAAATCTAGAGTCTTGAGGTAGATTGTTAAGTTCTGAGCATGCTAGTGGCTAGCTAATATTGTGTGCATATTAAGACTGCAGATCACAGGGACAAGAACATTCACTGACTCAATAATAATTTTTTTTTAATAAGGTCTGGGTACTAAGGATTTAGTGATCAATAATACAGAGAGGCCAATGACTTAGGTGTTTCTGCTTGGGCTCTGAACTCCCCAAAAGGGCAAGAGACAAGTGTGTGAGCAGCAGCGCCGGTCCAGACCTCAGTGCAATCTCCTGTTGCCCAGCAGGCACAGAGGATAGGAAGGTACATGCTGGAGCCTGACTATGTCACTGCCCAGGATTAATACGTAGAACTACACAGGGCTCCTTGGGAGGCGGTGTTCCAACAGGGAATCCAGGAGGTGAGTTTTTCTTGGGCCAAATGAACCAAACAACCCAGCTCTCCTCAAAATGGAATAGAGTCTGTGTTTTCATTGATGGTATTTGTTCTTAACACAGGTTTGAAGTATTTGAATTACATTTTATAGTAAAATAATTTATGGTATGGTTTTTGGAGTACTCAATTAATCAAATATTAAAGAAAAAAGAAAGAAAGAAAATGTCTCCAACCACTTAAATAGATTTGTAGACTTTTCCTTTGAAAGGTGCTTATGGGCAGACCTTAGAGGAAAACAAAACACTGTCCGCTTCCTTACAGTTACCTGATTTATGCAGTATTTTTTCAGGTTGCTTCTAGGAAAGATTTATATGTCTGAACCTTCCCATGAAAAATAGAATAGGAAGTTTAATTGGAACCCCAGTGCTTTAAAGTCTTTAAATGCATTATTATAATCTTAACAAGATAGAATAGGAAAAGAAAAAAGCAGTCATAATCCCTCTAGCTCACCACAACCACCTTTAGCTCTTAGTAATCACCTTTGTCTATTAGAGAGTGACATGTTTGTTGAATACAGGACATGGAGAGTCTGCATGTTGATATTCCCCATATTTACATCTTATACTGGCAAGAAAGCAATTCTCCCATTATATTTTCAAAAAATAAATTTCAATTTCATATACATTACTTCTGTGAACACAATATTGTTAATTTTTTAAAAAAGCAAAAAAATAGGGAGAAATCATTTCAAACTACTATAGACAGAGATTCCAAAGAAAATGCCACATTCAGTTACAGCAATGACACATTTTCACAATGATGTATGACAAGGAGAATTCTGGAATTCTGCCTCTGATTCGTCAAACATCCAAATATCTCATGAGTACAAGAGATCTGGAAAATCATGGCTACAGGGTAAAAAAAAAATTTGGTAACTAATTCTAATTCATTTAAGAGGGACTAAAAAAAAAATCAGTACATAACTTTTAGTCTTTGAATTTCCAGAAGCAGATGCCAACGGATTTCTGAGTTTTAAATCAGAACTCTATACATGCTGTTTTCTTCTTCTTAATATATGTATCTGTCCATTTAAACATTACAGCCTTGTACTTAACTGGAAAACTGTCCCAATGCCTTGCAGATACCCAATGTCACAATTCTGCTTGAATATTCACATTGGTATTAGCATAGGAAATGGGCACAAGAAGCTAATAACAAGCAAATGAGGATTCTTGAGCACAGCTGCCCTCAGGGGCTCACTCAGGTCCAACTGTGCCACGGGTCCCCATTCCCTGAGAACACAGTTTGCACTAAACTAATTATGGATCTCTCCCTGTCCCTTACCTAAATGTTCTTGTCATTTTCACATATGTCTATAAACCAGACTAAAATTTCTTTGAGGAAAATATCAGTCACCTAGAATATTCTTAATAAATATTATGAATAGATTTTTAAAATTTTTTTCTTAACTCTCACAGAACCTAGGATGATATAGACTTTAAACTCTGAATCTTAAAAACAATGATAATCATTGCAAAGATAATCATTGATTATCTTTGGGGTTTTTATTACAAAAAAAAAAGAAAAATTATTTAATGCTTGGATTGTAAATCTTTTAAAAAATATTATTAAGAATATCAAACAGATTTATAGTATTCAAAACCATACAATATACTCTTAAATATGGGCTGGGGTTGTGGCTCAGTGGTAGAGCACTCACCTCGAATGCCTGAGTCACTGGGTTCGATCCTTAGCATCACATAAAAATAAATAAATAAAATAAAGTCACTGTGTCCATCTACAATTACAGAAAAAAAAATTAATATTCTCATTTAGTATGATGTCAATCTGAGTGGTAGTTTTCCTAACCTGACACAGAGGGGTTAAAAGGTTCTTCCTGGTCCTGCTGTAAAAAGAAGAAGACCCTGGGATAGAAGTGACTTCATTTCAAGGTACTATGGAATTGGAGCAAGTACAAAGACCACAAATGAAAGATAAACCCAACCTTCCCTGCCACCAATAAAACATACATTCCCCACAAAGACCACCATTAAAGAAAACACCTCAGAGAACAGATGACAGTTTTAGAAAATGGGTCAGTTTGCTTCTGGACAGCAACCAGAAAGACTGGCCTCCTTCTATCAAGTACTTTCCATCTCTTTTGAAACAGAGAGAACCTGGTTGTCTTGTAGCCAATTTAGTTTATGAAGAAGCACAGAGAAATCAACAGCTTAATAAATCAGTCTACATCTTAAATACAAAGCATCAAGGGAAAAGATCCCTGAGCTGCCGTGGTAGATAAGGGTGTTTTGTTTTTATTCTATTTTTCAATGTTTCTTTTGAATCTTTTAAGAAGTTGGAGTTTGGGTACAGAACAAAAAGGAAACACACTTTCATTTAAAGGGTGCCTTGAGAAAGCCAATCCTATAAGCCAACATGTGACTTCTACTCAGTTGATCCTAATTGTGTTGGCTCAATGAGCAATGAAGCCTGTGGCAACCATAGGTTTCTAAAAGGTTAATGGAATGTAATTCATCTTTTGAGAGAAATAGAAGAAGAATGGGTAAGCAGGCAGGTCAAGAGAGAGCATAAGAAGAGAAGAGGGGCTTAGGGTGTTGTTCAGTGGGTAGAGTGCATGGCCAGTATGCATGAGGAGCTGGGTTCAATTCCAGCACCAAAAGAAGACGACAAAAAGAGAAAAGAGGGGAATGGGAGGGTTTACCAAGAGGAGGAAAGTAAAGATCGATAAACAAACAAAGACACCTACAGACAGTTTTGGGGATATGGCCAAGTGCCCCTCACCAGCCAGGTCCTCGCCACGACAGAGACCCAGAGCTTCAGTCTCCTGGTGACAATTCCACATCTTTTGGCGTCTCTAGAGTTCTATGCTCTCGTGGCTTGGGCGTTAGCAAGTGGGAGTTGGAGAAAAGAGAAGACTGGGCCTACCTGTTTCACCACTACTTATTTACTATCAATCTCCACCTACCACAGAGTCTGTTTTACCTGGATCACTGCTCAGGTGGTTTAGAGGTATGATGAGAATCACATACACCAACTTTATTCTAGCCTCCCGACTCTAAGAGATGCTTAAAAGTATCAAGGACTGTTTTCTTTGTGTGCCATGCCTTGCCCTTGCAAATGCAGCTGATACTTATTGCCAACAGAGAATGGAATATGATGACGTGGGCTTTTCTCTCCATTCCAACTCTCCACTCCCTCCTGAGAGGCTAATTCTGTACTTTTAAAAAAAATATATCTCAAAGCTGTGTAGCCCAGGCACTCCAAAGAGATATACCCAGCAAGTCAATCTTCACAACGTCAAGGTCACTGGCTTTTAAAAAGACATAATATATCCCGAGACCAGTCTGTGGACTCCTGTCCCTCCTCTTCCTGCCAGCAGCTTAAGTAAAGGGCTGGAGCATGAGGACTCATGCCAGATCCAAGGGTTTGCAGTGAAGTAACAAATAACTTTGGAGAGAAAGGGCAAAGAAGTGTATAGAGGAAATGCTCAAAAATTTAGGATTTAGGAGCTTGGGGAATCATATGAACAGGTAAGGGGAAAAAAATCCCCAATTTTCTCCATCCTATGTTTAGGTCTAGAATAATTCACTTGACTCAGAAGTCAATTCCTGAACTTTCAACTGGAATCCTTGTCCAAGACTAAATAAATGTAGGCCATTTTTTTTTTTAAATAGAAATCTAGTTCAATCTCTTTCTTCCACAATAAGGGGCATGGTGCTAGGATTAATGACCCAAAGACAAAGGAACAAACAGACCCAAGTTCCTACCCCAAACACACATGTCCCAAGTCACTGTCTCATTCCTTTTTTTCCCCAAAGAAGAGGCAAAAAACCAGGGTAGAGTCGCCGGGGAGTTTCTTGCAAGTCCTCCTCTATCCTCCAAGTTACAAGCTGTGGTCTTGCAGGACCTCAGTGTCCTCACCCCCTGAGGCAGCAAGCAACACAACATGGTTCTGACCCAAGAGGCTGGACAATGTCTGCCATCTGCCTTTCTCCCCTGTGCTCTACCTTCACAGCACAGCGCAACACAGAAAACACACATCCTAAACCCGAAGGATGAGAGCATCTTCCCACCAACTCATCAAAGTCCTTCTTCCCCAAGGGTAGGGTAGGTGATATGAAAATTAGTATTCTGCATTTTAACTAATATGTATGTTATGGTTCAATAGGAAATTGTGATTAAATAACGAGTAAATGAAAGGTTTTTTTTTTTTTTCTTTGAACACAAATAAACTGGTCTAAGAGCCAGAAAAGGATGAATTAAAGGCAGTAAAGGGCCAAGAGTGCCGGGGACTTTCACAAAACCACT